GCTGTACAGTTGAATAAACGATTAACCAACAAGCCTGAGCTGATCAGTTAATCCTATCTACTACGCGCACTCCCCCCCCGCTGCCCCTGTATCAGAGGTAGCAATGGGTGCCTGCTCCCACTTCCCTCCCCCCAATCTGGCAGAGCTGTCTGCTTCCCTCCTCTCCCCTGGCGCTGCTGCCTCTCTGCCTCTACTGGAGAGGCAGGGGCGGGGCGGGTGAGGGGGGCAGGCAGGATCTGGTACATGCGGGGAGCAGCTTTTAAGCTGGCTTCCTGTGTGTACCGGCTCCCATAGAGCCACCTGCTTCCCCTTTGTTGCCTCCCACAGAGGCAGGGGGAGGCAAGTGGGAGATGGTGCTTAAGGAGTCACTTCCCCCTGTTCAGGGGCAGCAGCGTTGGGGCGAAGGAGGGAGAGGAGAGATAGGCAGGATGCTGGCACAGCCCCTGTCTGCAGGGAGCTTGGGCCCTCTGCAGATATGGGCTGCTGCTGTGGAACAGCCTCTATCCGTGGCAGGCCCAGGCTGCTCTGTGGGATACCAGTGCAGCCTGTGTCAATGGGGTGCTCCTCCCTATACACCCCCACAGACAGGTGCAGCCATCCCACTCTGCTGCCTCTGTAGCCTGTGCTGCCACCTCTGATACAGAGGCTACCGTGTGGGGTGGCAGAGGGCTCCCTGGGAATGGAGCCGAGAGTGCTCTGGCTGCCATCCCCATCCTCAGGGACTATGAAATAATCGTGTAACTGCTAAGATTTAGTGAGGTTACATGATTATTGAATTAATCGATATCTAACACCCTTCTATGAGTTAGAAATTGTTTAGGAAATACACACTGTCCTGGATTCAGCATGAGAGAAGGAATAGAGGCCCAAACAATAAGGGGTGCTTTCAAAACAATGAGAATTAGAAGAAACACATAGATAGTATATTCACAATGGCCTCTAAGTTCACATTGTTAAGAGATTTTTCATTTGGAATTTTAGAAATTAATTTTTCACTTCTGCAAGGATTTTTCAAGGAAGATCATTATCGCCTCTAGGTAAATTACAAGGATTTCTTTCACAGACTTCCCTGTCAATCATCTTAATCATCTCCTAGTATATTTTCTGTTAGATGTTTGAGGTAGAGTTAAAGGTGAGTAGAAATGCTTTTCTTAAAGGGAAGATAAAACCCAGTTTAAGGTTTCAATAGCTGTAGGAGTAGAACAAGTGAATATATTCTAAAGCAAATACATTCTAAGCCAAATTACTTAGTTGTTATAGCTACCAAGTTGCAAATGCTATTCTTCCTGAAGCATAGAATTTTCTTGCACTCCCATTTCTGTTTGTAAGCTTCTTTGTCAGCTTTTGTAGGAGGACCATAGTCTGGGGGGGGAGGGATAGCTCAGTGGTTTGAGCATTGATTTTATAGGAGAACCATAGTCTGGGGGGCGGGGGGAGGGATGGATAGCTCAGTGGTTTGAGCATTGGCCTGCTAAACCCAGGGTTGTGAGTTCAATCCTTGAGGAGGCAATTTGGGGCAAAAATTGTCACGGATGGTACTTGGTCCTGCTGTGAAGGCAGGGGACTGGACTCAATGACTTTTCAAGGTCCCTTCCAGTTTTAGGAGATAGGCAATCTCCATTAATTTAAATAACCTTTCAGTTTATCTTGTAATAACTTTTTCTGGGGCACTGATAAAGGTGCACCAATTTAGCTAGCCTAGCCCACTGTAACTTTGTGTGTGAATGTAGCTTGCCTTTGTTGTTTAAAGTATGCTAAGAACTTCTGCATACAAGGTTGCTGTGACTTAGCCAAAGTAATGCAGCATCCCACCTCTAATATAAAGCTGGGCAAAATGGGGGTGTGGACAAGCCCTGATGCATCTTCATCTCTGTGAAGTTCTGCTGCTTTGGGAAGGGATGTGGGTGGAGGCAGCAGGATAACGGAAGAATGACTGACAAGCTGTGTATATTGGGCTCTGGCTGGGGTTTTACTCTACCCTTATTCAAAACTTCTGTGTCTGCATAAGGATGCATCTTCTAAAAAGAGTGTGTGGATACTTTCCTCCCCCCACTGCCTATCCCATTTTGTGGGGGATTAGGAAACAGAGCAGTTATGTAACTGCTGCTTTTGTTAACTTGGTTTAGAGTATTGCTGTGGATTATTATTCGTGGTGTGACCATACACAGATAAAGATATTTGATTCTTTGATTCTTCAGCAGGCCCAGGCCCTTTCCTGTCTTCATTACTGTGAGTGGGAAAGGATTAGGATCTATCTGGGATTCTGTTGCCTTCTAGGTACCCTATAGGCATCCCAGACAGGTATCCTAGAATTGGGCTTCCAGGAATAAACTCGTCCCCCCCCCCCCAAATGCTGCTGGAAAATTGGATTATATGCCATTGTGAAACAAGTCCCAAGGAATTTAGGAAAGAAAAATAAAGTTCAGAGCACAGAGCATAGCACCTCCCTGCTTCTCTAGGATTTTGAGGACTGTTTGCAGATGGATGTGGATATTGGCAATAGGGATGTTAAATATCAGTTAATTGAATAGTCAGTCCCCCCCCCCCCAAATGCTGCTGGAAAATTGGATTATATGCCATTGTGAAACAAGTCCCAAGGAATTTAGGAAAGAAAAATAAAGTTCAGAGCACAGAGCATAGCACCTCCCTGCTTCTCTAGGATTTTGAGGACTGTTTGCAGATGGATGTGGATATTGGCAATAGGGATGTTAAATATCAGTTAATTGAATAGTCAAGTAACCTCATGATTCTTCTTCGAGTGGCCCCGTGGGTGCTCCACTCTAGGTGTCGGGTCCATCCCGGCGCTGCTGGTCGGAAGATTTCAGAGCCGTATTCGGCTGGTCTGCGCATGCCCCCTGCAGTGCTCGGCTTTCGCGCCTTTGATCATGAGTGCAGACCCGCCCCCCCCCTCCCCCCGCCAGTTCCTCTCAACCGTCCTAGGTTGCTGGCAGAGCTTTGCGATCTCCTCAGACGCAGAGCAAATCCTGTCAGAAAGAATTGTAAAATAGTTAGTCTTTGTTCAGTAGTTAGTTTCTTATTAGTTAGTTAGTTAGTTTTGGGGAAAAAAAATGAGAGAAAGATGTTGTTCTAGTCAATTTCTGCCAGCGCTGCAGTTTGCCTAGTCAATTTCATCATGCCTCAAAGGCAGCAGCGCAGAGTGCTAGGCACGAGCTGGTCCATGAGGGGAGCCAGTTTAAAACCCAGCTCCCCTCGTGGACCAGCTGTCTGTCGCCCTCTGATGCTGCCTCTGATAAAGAGGCAGCAGCATAAGGAGGCAGCAACCCCTGTCTAGAGGGGTACTGAGCTCCTGGACCTGGCACAAGCTAGAACTCTGTCTGCCCGCCTGGCTCCTAACATCATTAAATGCAGAGCCACAGCGGGGGTAGGACCTGGACCCGGCAGAAGCAAGGACTAAGCTGGGCAGCCTGCTAAAAAATTTACTGGCAGAGGAGGCAGGAGGGAAATGTGTGTAGTCTATAGCACTAACCTATAAGCTTTTGCTCATCCGTTAATCGGTTAATTGACTACACTATTATATCCCTAATTGGGAAGTGCTCCTGTACCATAAAACACATCTGGATCTGACAAGGACTGTAATGGTGTAATTGCCAAGAATACAGAGCAGTAATTAATGTGAGAACATCTATAATTAGTTTATCATGTTCCTGGGGGTTATATCTTTTTACTATGTATTTTGAAGAGTTTGCTTGTGGATTTGTTTGTGCAAAATAAAGTCATACTTCCCGATTACCTACAGATACCAAATTTTGCATAAATAATTCTGCCACTTAAATTAGCTGAATGCACTACTTTTTACACCAGAAATATGCTGGGAGAAAGGTGTAAATCATTGTTTTCCAAAGTGGTCTGCAGTCCCACTCTGAGAGAGCTGCTACTGGGCTAATTTGATTTGTTTGCTTACCAACTCCGCAGCCTCAGAGCCTCGTGGCTCCCACTGCCAGCAGTTCGCCATTTGTAGCCAAGTAGGGTTGCCAGGTGTCTGGTTTTGAACCAGGCAGTCCAGTATTTGAGCTTTGTTCGGGAAATAAATTGAGAAAATATAAACTAAAAGTCCAGTATTTTCTAAGTAAGATGTAAAGTAGATTGTGATGTAATGTCAGGTGTGTCCGGTATTTTTGTTGAAACCATCTGGCAACCCTACCCTAAGGGTAGCTGCGGGAAGTACTGTGACCCAGACCGCTGTTTCCCACGACCTCATTTGGCTGCAAACAGCAAACCGGAGCCAATGGGATCTGTGAAGTTCTGTGGCTGTGGATCTGGTAAGTAAACAAACCAGAATGGCCCAGTATCAGCTTTCTCAGAGTGGGTCTGCAGACCACTTTGAGAAACACTGGTTTAAATAATTATTTTTGTTTTTAATTGGACTTTGGCCAGTCAATAACAGGCCTCACCTGCTAGTTCAAAATAAGCTGAACTTTGTTTTTATTGTGTCTATAAAAAAGATACTTTTTGAAACTCTTGCATTCTATATTATAGTTTCACTACCCCTGCTCCTTATATGTATCATACATGTCACAAAATGATGACCAGGCTGTTGGGCAAATTCACCCCTTGTATAATCCCACGGAGGCCCTTGCATTAGGTCTTTGTATGTTCTCTTGCTGTTACATGTGGGAAAACTGCACTGAATTCTTGCTGTTCTTGTTGTAGGAAGAATTGTTTTGTAGCAGGGATAACTGGACTTGTCATGCTGAGTGTCAGTAAAGTCATTGGTTTTTATCTCATTTTGGTGTTCTTCAAATGTGGTGTGGAAGAAAACAAGCTTTCATTCTACATTTGTGAGCCTCCACAGTGGATAAAAGGAACTAACCCATTCCTGTGCTACTTCTCCATAGTTACGGTTGAGGCAAGTTTTTCTTTCCAACCCTGTTTTTAAACTCATATTTTAAAGTTTTAATCCTAACTTCTCTCTAAATATATCACCTTATAATCAATTTCATTTCATAACACCAAACTGATAGTCCAATTCTATTAACGAAATGCAGTTCTCTACTCCAACATATTACATGGTAAGAATTCTAGAATTTGGCTAGAATGTTTCAAAGTCTTAACCATGCATTTAATTAATAACATATAATAGAAATTAATGTGCATTCAACAGCATATTTCCATTAAAGAACAAATATGGTAACTGTTTAATTTGGGTGCATGTTGGATATAGATGGGGGTATTTGTGAACGATTGTATGACAGTGTGGAATTGATTAGATCCTTTAATTGTTAATTTTTAGTCATGTAATCATTTTTCCCTCAGAGACATGCAGAGTTTTTGTAAAGAAAGTTTAACTTTTTAGGTGGCTGTCAGAGGGCTTCCCTTCACCTGCTCTGCAAGTACAGCTGCCTGGGCTTTTCTTGTGGTTTCTAGTTACTAATCTGACATGCATCTGACGAAGTGGGTCTTTGCCCACAAAAGCTTATGCTCCAACACTTCGGTTAGTCTATAAGGTGCCACAGGACTCCTCGCCGCTTTAATCTGTGCAGGCTCTTTTTTTTCACCATAGAATGATAGAATCCTAGAATTGGAAGGGATCTCGAGAGGTCATCAAGTCCAGTCCCCTGCCCTCACGGCAGGACCAAGAACCCATCTACATCATCCCTGATAGATGCTTATCTAACCTGCTCTTAAATGTCTCCAATGGAGATTCCACAACCTCCCTAGGTGCATGCATTTAATCTTCAGTTTCAAAACAAACAGGAGGTGATTTCCACGCAGCATTCTCTCCCCTCCTATACTCATCTAAGTCAAGTCTCTTTCACTCCAAAATATTAATATTAATAATTTTTCCTCCCAATTACTGAGCCAATTGCCTCATTAGTTCAATAAATGCCACCCGAGTGTCAAAAATGGGTTAATTGGCTTTAATTAACTCTGCAATCTTTCCAGTGTTCCAGCAGTTTTCTTGATCGGGATGCTATCTTGTCTCAGAGGGGTAGAGCAGAGGATGCTTAGCTGGACTTCACTGAGACATGATCAACTTTAAATAATTTTTTTTTAACATAAAAATTTATTTGGAAATGAGAAAATGTAGCTGAGGTAAGCTCTGTGTAAGGGTCGTCAGCTTTCTCAACTGGACAAAATTTGCAGCCATGGTTTCCAGTTCATTCAGGCAGGGAAAATAGGCAATCATATTGTAAGCTTGGAATTTTGTCTCTTTCAAGAGCGGAAGTTGGTCCAGTAAAATATATTCTTTCGTTCTCTCTCTAATATCCTGGGACCAATACTGCAAATTATAGTGTATATCAAATACTGGTATATGAAGTAATTAAAAAGGGAAAGGAGTTGTTTGAAATTCTGTAGTTAGGAAGATGACTGAAAGCCAAGTGCTGGGCCATGCCAATATGATCTGCAAGAGATAATGTGACTGCCTTGTTAGCTGGTAATCAGAGAAGGCCCTGTCTAGCACTTTCAGCTGTGATTGACATCAGCTTGGTCAAAGTTGATTGAATAAATGAAGCCAAATTGTTTCAATATACCATAGAGGACAATAAAATTAAAGCAGAGTGGAGAGTGAATATATATGCTAACATTGATATATCAGGAAAGATGGGAAAGATTCTGAGAGAGGGTAATTGACAGGTTCAAATTCTACTACCAAAAGCAACAAATAGGAAAGCAATATTACTATCAGATGTGGGAATTTTGAATAAAATTACAATAGCAAGAGCTGTGTCTTGGCTAATGCATGGAGCAAAGCTCACAACATTGCAGAATTGTAATGTGCACACCACTGAAGCACTTATTAAGTCCTTTAGAGTGGACTGTCTGACTTAATGTGCCAGATTCTGGAAATGAATGTGAAATGCCGAATAAAATAATCGGCATAAATTAAGCTTTCATCTTGAATAAATTAATCTCTCAGTAAATTCATCCTGTAGCTAGACACAAACAGGAAAAGGGAAGAAGCATATGGCTGAGACCTTAAGTGTTCTAGCATTAAATGTTTCATTTGTCTAAATATTCAGTAGAGGCACCACAGCACAGAAACAGTTTGAAATTCTATGGTAGCAAAAGCTGACAAGAAGCCAAGAGTCACTTAGCTTGTCGGTAATGTGATGGAACAGACTGATGTGACCTATGGGACACAGTTTAAATTATTGGCTTCCTATCAGGAGGTAGAAAAGTCTTGTCAGAGCAGTTTGACCATGATTGATTATTAATTGGGTCAGAGTTGTGAAAACAAATCTCTTCATTTTTATGCTCTCTTTTCTGGTTTTGTTCAAAGATCTCTTTGTTCAGACTTCAAGGGCATTTCGTAAATGACTCGTAGACTTAAGATGGCTAAATTAATGTTTGGATTGTTATTTCTAAGTTATTTACTAAATCAACTGAAATTTTAATTAAAGTTGCAAATAAGGGAACAGATTCACTACAGGTTGGACCTCCCTGGTCCGGCACTCTGAGGACCTGACTGGTCCTGGATGAGGGATTTTGCTGGACCAGGGCAGGTCATTTCTGGACCCTTGCCACCGGCTCCATTGGCCCGCCCGCTGGCCTCCCAGATGGCTCCTCACCTCCTGCTGACCCCATTGGGCAGCCATCACTGCCATGACTCCGGGACCCACTGAGCAGCCTTGCACACAGCACTGAGGCTCCAGGAACCACAGGGCGGCCATGCTCGTTGCACTGGGACTCTGGGACTTGCTGGGCAAGTCATACACTGGGGCTCCGGGTCCCACAGGGCAGCCATGTGTGGATCCCTGCCTCACCGATCTACCACGGCTCCCAACCCCTCTGAACAGCCCACCTGCCATGGGCTGGGTGGCCCACCATCAGCTCTCTGTGAGCAGTCCTGCAGGGATCCATGCTGCTGGCCCCTTGCACCGGGACTCTCTGGTCCTGCAACATCTGTGCCAGACCATGGTTATTGCCGGATCAGAGAATCCCAGATGAGAGAGTTCCAACCTGTAGTAAAATTTCTCATTTTTTTAAAATGGTCTTTCTTTTGCCTAATATATATCAATGCTTTTACAGCCGCATTTTACAGCTGTTTTGTACTGAAAGCTCCTGGGGCCAGATCCTGGGGCACAAGACTGCAAGGAAGGGGAGAAAGGTGGCTTTAGCCACTCTTCTGGTCTCCCAGATCCTGTGGCTGCCCATTGCCTGGCATAAGCTAGAGGCCTGAGGCTGCTTACACCAGCTAAAGTGTGGGTATTACTAATGAATAAGGCAGAGGTGGGCAAGAAAGTGGCAGCTGTTCTGCTGCTGTTGCTATATTTACCTGTGCCTCCACAGGTATGGATGATTGCAGCTCCGGTTGGCCGCACATCACTATTTCTGGCCAATGGGAGCTGCGGGAAGCAACGCAGACCAGGACACTGCTTCCTGCACCTCCCATTGGCTGGGAACAGTGATGCATGGTCGATGGAAGCTGCGATCGCCTGTTTCTGCCGCAGCACTGGTAATTATAGCAGTGGGGACCTGCCGGGGGCTAATGCTGGTGGACCAGATCTGGCCCGTGGGCTGGTACTTGCCCACCCCTGGTAGAAGGGGATACCTTCATACATCCCCTCTTCCCTCTGCATCAGGTGGGCATGGAAGAAGAGCCATTGAAACAGCTTTGTTTTACCTGTGTTTTCTGCAGCATAGCGAGACTCCAGAAAAGGGATCATTTAAGCTGGGTTTAGTTGCCATAGTGGACCAAAGGTTCCTACTTGTTTGTTTATAAACTGGTTTCTGAAGTTTAATTCATGGTTTAGGCACTGAAGAACCAGTGGCATTTCCGAGAAGTAAGGGTGTTAGACTACTTTGGGGTAAACCCAGAATTTGATTTGCTCAAATACTCACTTGATTTGCTCAGAGTGGGGAAGTCCCTTTCCTCTCCAAGCTATTGAGTAATGTTCTGGGGCAAAATGGCAGCCATGTCCCAGCCCTGAGGTGGTTACACTTCATCCATTGGGAAATGGCGTCTGGGCAGTGTTTGTAAAATGCTTTGATATGCTTCATAGATGAAAGGTGCTATATAAATGCAAATTTCATTCACTTCATTTCAATTTCATTTAATACATAAATAAATCGCTCCAGTTTTTAGTGGGAAGGGCAGTCTGAGACCCAGCACAGAATTCTATTCTGAATATACCTGTGGAGATACGGGTTAAGGCCACTGATTGTCTTTCAGAGCCTAACAAAATTAATTTTCACATATACAAACCCACGTTTGTTGCAGCCTGAATAATAATGAAATGAGACAAGAGTTTTCCAGACTCATTGGATTGTACATGTTATCCTGTGAATTAGGAAGTGGTGAAAGAACGGATTGGTAAATTAGTGTTTTGATTATTTTTTTCAAAGCTATTTACTAAATAAACTGAAATTTTAATTAAAGCAAAGAAGGGAACAGAGTCATTAGAGAAGGTGAGGGCTTATTTCCTAACATGTTTTTCACAGCCCTGACTTTGGGACCCTAAGTAGAAATTATAGTTGGTACTTGGTTGATAGTGAAAAGTATAGAACGTCTGCTTCACCTTGTAGTTTAGAAATTTGGTGTAGTTTGATTTCCCCGCCCTCCCCCCACCTGTTTCCGATGAGGGATAAAAACAATGTAGAGTTAATGCATTTAAATTTAAACAGCTGGTTATGAGCACTCTGTTTTGAGTTTGAGCCTGAGCTCAAGCATCTGATTCCATTTGGTTGATAGGGTTGCCAGGTGTCCAGTATTGACCTGGACAGTCTGGTATTTTTGCCTCCTGTCCAGTAAAACAAATTCAGAAAATACCGGATACCTAAAATGTCTGCTATTTTCTGATTTTTTTTTTTCTCGGCCAGGAGGCGAAAATACTGGACACCTGGCAACCCTAGCGCCCAGATCCAGGTCCAGCCCCCGGCTTTCCCCGCCCCGGGCCCTGACACCCCGAGCCCCCTCCTCCCCTGGACTCCATGCTTACCTGGTTCCACAGGGAAGCTAAGTTCTGGCTTGAACAAGAACACAAAATGGCTGCCGGCAAAAAGCCTAAAGACCAAGGGGAAGCAGTGCCTTCCCTGGGTCTCAGTGTGCAACTTTTCTCCCCTGTTCCGATCCCTATTCTAACTCTGCACTCACTCTGAAAGGGGCCATGGTGTTTTATTATTTAAATTTTTTTTTTTTTGCTTAATAAGTCTTGGAGTCCCCCTCCTTTTCCCCTCCCCCCTTTTTTTCCTCAACAGAATTTTTTCCCTGGTGTTTTTTTTTGGGGGAGGAGGGTGGTGGTGTTTGGTATTTTTGGTTCAATCATCTGGCAACCCTGTTGGCTGAAGAGCAGCAGTCAATGTTTGGAAAAACTAATACTTTGATTACTGCAAGTTTCAGTGATTATTAATACGTTAATTTTTAACACCAATTCTTTACAAAAGAGAAGTGGCAAAGGAGACCCTTCTCTCTCTCAAATTTATTGAGGAAAAGAAAGTTGAATAGAATTTTTTAAAAGTAACTGTTTATCCATACTCTAGCAGAGGCCCCAGCTTTGATGGCTTACAATAATCTGTTCCTATTGAAGTTGGGCCCTAGATGTAAAGCTTGGACTTTACTGGTGTCCAGAATGCTATTCTCGGAAGGGCTTATATTTTACAAACGTCTTACAAACGTTTTACAAACGTCTGCAAAGGTAAGAAAGTTGTAAGTGTAGCAAAATTCTTTCAAAATCTGTATTGTATTTTTTTTTATTCTAGTTTCCATTTGGTCGGCGATTACCCTGTGATATCTATTGGCATGGGGTATCATTTCATGATAATGACATATTCTCAGGTCAAGTCAACAAGTTTCCAGGTAACTAATCTTGTGCTTGAAGTTAAATACATGCTTTAAAACTGTTTTTTCATGTTGTCTGAATTATTCCCCAACCTTGTTGATAATTTGCTGTCTTTTGTGGACACTGGTAACACTCTGCAAAATATGAAAGGTTTCATCCTATTTTGATCCAAGTCTAGTGTTCTCATCCTGATGCAAGTAAATGGCTGATTATCTGTTTCTCCATCAAGAAAAGTGTTTGCCTCTTGCATAGTGGTGATTACAGTTGCAATTAGGGATGTTAACAGGTAACTGTTTAACTGGTAAGCATCACCTTACCAGGTGATGCTTACCGGATTAGCAGATAACTGGTGGCCCACCAGAGC